TAACATAGTAAATAAATATATAGAAACTCAAATTCAACAGAAACATAGTTTTCAATACAATAGCAAATACCAATAACACCACCACTCATGATAGAAACTTAACTAACAAGTTCTGCCACAAGACTGACAGTAAAATACTTGACTGTCTTGACATAACTAAAAGACACGATGATGCTATCATCAAGCAATGCCTGAGAAGCAAATTTATTTAATAGAAACAACATAAGTTGGTTAAGGACATAGTCTATTGAACTATTCTTCTTCCTCTTCTTCCTCTTTCCAGCAGCATCGCAGAGTTGACCTAGGCGATCCACAGGCCCCAGTTCGGGTGAACTTCTGGTAGATCATGGAACCACCCATTCCAAGCCCTTCAAGGCTTCTCTCTCCGCAACAGTAAGCCTTTACATCCAGCTGACAGGTCTGCTCAAGTGACTTGCTTGTAACATCAGCATGCACAGCAATAGAGAACTCACTTGGTTTGAAACAAACTAACACCCTCTCAACCAGTTGCTCCAGATTCACATCTCTTGGATTGTATCCTACTGCTTCAAAGCTTGCATAACTAAAACCATCTTCTGGGGTAACATGAATGGTAGAAATTGCAACTCCTTCAATTGCATTCATTGAGTAACCACAGGGATCAAACTCAAAATCACATATCTCTGAATCTGGCAGAATCTTCCTTATCCCAGAATTAATGGTCATTGTAGCAGCAGAACCTGATTGCTCTTTGTAGAAAACTGAAGCCATTTCCCTGTCCAAACCAGTCATGCACATCTCCAGAGTGTAAACAGGGTCAGAGGAGATTACTGACTCAGCAGAAGCAGAGTAAACATGCCATTTCTGTGGCTTATCCAACCCACCCATTACATAAGCCTTGCTGCCTGAGCCAAGCTTGCCAAAATAGCTATCAAGGACAGCAACTTCTTCTGAGAAGCTGCGATGAGGATATGACTGGGCTCCTGGAAAGATAAAGCTGCCACGGGTATACCTCACAGATTTCACAGCAAGGGAAAGAAAGCCAGCCAACCTAAGGATGGGTGGGATTGACAGCAGTAACTTTGTAGTCCCACAGGTTTTGATGATGATCTTGTAAGGATAAACAAAGAGGCTGGACTCAGAAAGGACATATGAGTCAACATGCTCATTTGACAACGAAGACACAATAGTGCACTGAGCAGGTCCTAGTATCTCGTCCAGCTGGTCTTTTGACAGCAATTGAAGGCCCTTGCCTTCAGGATCAACAAAGATGCCAGGCTCAAAAAATGAAATTTCCAGCCTCTTTTCATAACCTTCAAATCCAATTGCAGACACTGCCATGGCCATGTCAACCATGGGGTACAATCACAGTTTAAATCGTTCCACAGACACTAAACAAAGATTTTGGCAGTTGTAAAGAAATTGCAGTCACGAAGAGAGCCGAAAAGAGGAAGAGATGATTGAAGAAGAGGATCTAAAACGAAATATGGCAAAAGTAAAAACTTATTGACCACTAAGTGTGGTCTGAGGGCTCACTTAGGGATATCAGGATGGCTTGCGAGCGCACTGCAGAAAGAAGAAACAGGAAACAGGATGTTAGTATCAAATAATTCTCAAAATAGACACAGGATGCGCTCATTATGGAGCTTGCTACAATCAGGAATTCTGTATAGAACTTAGACTTACGTTGGAGTATGCAGCAGATCTGAACTTCTTGATTCCACCGTTTGGTCTGACGTCTTCGATGCTGTAACCCAGAGGAGCTTCGTAGAATAATGATTTACTACTACTAGACTTCTTTTTCCCACCTTTAGACTCCATTAATCATTCAGATCTCACCTAATTAAACCATCAAAGCCACAGCAAGAGTCAGATAATGGCCAAGAAACATTCAAAACATATGTACAAAAGAACCAAAAGCCATCTAGACAGTTAGATCTTTCAAAATCCGAGAGAATGAACCTCAAAAACCATCAAATTAAATTCATGCAGCCAATGACAACAACAGATAACAAACAAATCAGAATCAGAAGCTAAAAATAACGTAAATTAGACACAAAATATCCAAAAAAAAATTTCAGCATAATAATAAAGAAAACAAGACTTCAAAACCAATGCATCCATCAAAACCAAGAAAAAAAAAGAATATTAGCCTAATCTAATCAAAAGCCAATCATATAAAAGGATAAAATGGCGATAAAAGAAACATCAGCCTCATGCATCAGATTAAATGGTTAAAAAACTGATTATCTAAAGCAATACTTACAAATTCAAATCTTGGATATCTATGAATCGCAGCTAACAATAATACGTTCGAATTCAACAGAAAATCTGAGAAAGAACGAAACAACAACGAATCAGAAAAAGGACGATTTTAAGCAACCGAACAAATTCCAGATCTAGGAAGATAAATAGAACAGAAAACTTACAGGTTAATCAAAATTCAAGATTGAAGACTGAGGAGAATACGAGAAGAACCCTAGAAATTGGATTATGGAGAGGCGGCTACGATCGGCGGAATACGATACTGCGAGCAACTCACATGAATGATGAGGCTATTATGAAAAGGGCGAGGGTTTCCACCTTTATTTATAGGGTGGCTCAGGAACGCGGAAATATTTGACACCGTATGGGGAGAAAATTACGGTCCTGCCACTAACTCATTTCGGCGAATTTTCCTCTATCTAATTATACTTTTCAAAATTCTTTTCCTCCACTAGTTTTGGAGTCTTTTGACTCATGTGCCCTTCTAAAATTCTAATTTTGATGGTTTTATTTTTTAAGTTTTGGGTTGCACAATTTAAAATATAAAATCTTATTTTAAAAAGTTTAATAAATATTGAATCCAATTGCGTATCCAAAAATACCAAACTCATTTACTTGACTACTAAATATATGTGCACCAAAAAAAATCTCATTTAAATGGTTACAATAGAGTGGTGCTATAATGGTAATCTTTTTATATCAATTTTTTATATATTTTTTACATATTGTTAAGTCAGTAAATACATTTAATATTATTAATTTCATATTAATTAAAAAATTAATCATTTAAATAACGGATCAAATTATACCGAAAAATAATATAAAATTTTTTTCTCAAAATCATTTTTCTTACTAATATATGCAGAGGAAAATAAATAAATATATAATATCAAAAAAATCAAAATTTTAATCGTAATATATCATTAAATAAATAATTAAATATAATATTATCTGTATTAGTTGTATAATGATGACAATGAAGATTATATGAAGCACTAGTGGCCGAAATACATGGTTTGCCGGCAAGAGTTGGGTGCTTTAATTGTTGTCATGTACCACGTGAAGCTAATGAGATTGTTCATAATTTGGCAAGTATGGCACATGAGGCAGAAATAGGATTTGGATAGAAGCTATTGTTTGCCCTTGTCACCTGCTCATGTATTTATTTGATTTTTGATATTGAATGAAATTTGTGTTTTTCATAAAAAAAAATTATAAATTTGTTTTTTTAATAATAAAGGTATAATTATTGTATTTTTTCAAAAGTAATATTATATGAATAATTTTAATTAGACAAATAGTTAAATAAATATCAATTTTTATTTTTAATAAAAAAATAAAAATTAAGACATATTAACAATTTAAATATCAAGACCTCATTCATTAAGGATATGTTTGTTTTTTATTATTATTAAAAATATTTTAAATATCAAAATGTCCTAATTTTTGTAATTTTTTAAAATATTAGTTAATGTAAAAAATATAATAATTATTTTTTAAACCGTACTCTTTAAAATATTTCTTATAAATTTATAATATTATGTGACATATAATATTTTAAATACGTCATTTTTTATTTATAAAAAATTTGAAGCTAAAATGGTAAATAAATTCTCTTCTTTTTTAATTTTCTTCTTTGACTAAAGGTTTACTTGAACACCTTACATTGTAAATACAGGTAAACGGGAGGGCATTTTAGAGATTGAACGTACGGGACGAGAACCGGAGTCTACGGTTGTTTCTTTTTGACTCGAGAGATGGGGTATTGCCGGGCGAGAATTTAGAAATGGAAATCGTCGCAACAGATCGATTCGTATGCATACGGGAGTTTCCAGATTTTGTGTGGTGTGGGGGAGAAAGAGATTCGCTCACGGAGGCCCCTCTCTTCTGCCACGTGTTCTTTCTTTAACTACCCCCCCTTTTTTTTTTCTTCTCTTTTTTCAAAGACAGCGAACAAACATAAACGGTCCATATTAATTAATATTTTAAAAATTAATTTTTAGATGTTAATTTTTTAATTGCTCTAGTAATATTTATAATTTTTTTGCTGAGAAAATTATATTTTTTATTATATTTAATAGTGTTGAATTTTATATAATAATATTATAATTATAAAATTATGAAAAATTATAATATTAAATTAATATAATATAATATTAAATAAATT